CCTGAGCTTCAGATGTCCTCACTAGCTTGTCTCCACGGTAAACTTACGTCTTTAATTATATCCAATGTTGGACTAAAAGAAGCATGAAGGAAAACAATCGGCAGAGGTTACTACAAGCGCTGGGAATTTGTAACATGAAATAACATATACTTCTGATTAGATGACGCTAAGTCAGTTTCACTCATGTATTATAACCATCAAGACCAAGAAGAGTCGTGATTCTCTCAAAATCTACTGAAAAGAAACCATTCTTTGCCCTTTCTGTGGAACACGGCCAGCCAGGGTAGTTCTTGAAAGACACATGAGACTGATGAAAGACAGAAACTGTTCCAACTAATGAAGTAGAATGAGGGTGAAAGGTGATCAAATCTTCTAGCAAGATCAAACTAACTTTTATGCTAATAGCCCTCCTTTTGTCCTAATTCATTGAGGGTTGCCATTCAATTATGGTACTAACAAGAAAAAAGGGTAGGAATATTTATTATGCAAATTATTCTTTGCTATCTTTTTGCTAACATTATGTATACAATAATAGCATAATTTTAACTACATTTTTTATTTCATTTTCTTTCTAAGTGGATTTCCAGTTGAGCGATTTAGTTCTTTTTTTTTAAATTTCAAAATATTTAAGGGGATGCAAATGCCTTTGTTACATTTTACAATGCTTGAGTCAGGGTTTTCAGTGTGCCCATCACTCAAATAGTGTTCATTGCATCTGTTAGGTGGAATTTTACCCCTTTTCTCCACACCCGTCTCCCTTCTTGATTTCCCCATGACCTTCACATCTCCTTATGCCCGTGAGTGCTCATTGATTAGCTTCCAATTATTAGACAGTACACGTGGTGCTGGTTTTTCCATTCCTGAGATACTTAGGGTAACAGTCTCCAATTTCTTCTAAGTTGCTACAAAAGAAAATATGTCACTCCTTTTACATACCATGGCTAGCATTCCATATGGTATATATGGGTCTGACAAGTTTGCCAACACATCGTAGAAAGTGCTGCATCTTAGAAGAAGTGTTCCCCTTGGGAAGCTATGTATCAACACCCGCACCTAGCCTACCCTTCAAAGCAATTTTGGAACTCTTTTTTAGAATGACCTTCAGAGTTGTCATCCTACCGCTCGCAAAAGCACACGCCAATAATGAACACCACTCAGGAAGACACTGCTCACACATTGACAAGAACACAGCTGTGAGACACTGTTACACCAAGGTTATGAGACCTTACCATGGCAAGTTTGAATTTTTCAAACTTCATTGTCAGAACTTATATGATGACAGCTCTGATGGTCATTGCAGAAAAAGAGTTCCAAAATTGCTTTGAAGGGTGGACTAGACTCTAGTGTTAGTCATAGCTTCCCAAGGGGAGTATTTCCAAGGTGATGGTAGTGATATTCAGCAATGAGGTATGTAGTAATTTTTCTAAGAGGAGTTCTCAAACTTAACTGTCAGACCTTGTGTACCACATTTTCTTAATCCACTCATGAATTAATGAGCACTTAGGTTGATTCCACCTCTTTGCAGTCGTGAACTGTGTTGGGATAAACATTCACGTGCAGGTGTCCTTCTGATAAAAGGACTAATTTTCCTTTGGGTAGATACCCAGTAGTGGAATACTGGGCTGAATGCTAATTCTATGCTTATTTCTTTGAGGAATCTTCCTGCCATTTTCAATAGAGGCTGTACTCATTTGTAATCCCCCTAATAGTGGATAAGTGGATAAGTGCTCCTTTCTCTATTTGGCACTTTTTAACTATGTCCTCTGCATCAAGCAAGA